GAAATTCACAAGTATTTGGATAAACTAAATTTTCAGCATAGTAAATGAATAGGCTGAATATACTGTAAATCGACACTAACTACTCTGTGTATTTAACAGAAAGCACCTAAATTTGTATTGTCTTATGTTAAAAAGATGTCTAATGTACAAAACTGCTAATGTTTATCTTTAAAAATGTCTAATTTTTAGTATAATCTATACTATACACTAAATTTGGTTATAAATAAATTTCTTAATAATATCACTGCAGATTTTCAATAACACATGAAAATGAATGCATAATATTGCAAAAGATGTGAGCTTTCAAAAGTACAAGATTTTGGTTACTATTCAAAATATAAGTGTTTCTTCAAAATTTTAAATTTATTTTTTCTAGAACATATTTAGAAACACTATCCTTTATAAAAAATATATAAATTTTATGTATTAATTAAATTTCACATATGAATATAGGTTTTTGACATTTTCGACATTTTTGACAGTGAGGTTTTTGACGTGACGGTTTAAACCATGGTTTAAACCGTCAAAAACTGTCACATGTCAAAAACCTGCCAACCCTGGTTTTTAAGGTAAAGTATTTTGTGAAAAGTCCGTTTAATTTTTCTTTAAGGCTACGTTCTGACGTCGAAAAAAAAATTTAGAAGGGATGGCTTCTGGGATAAAATATATGGGTAGATCACGTGAACTGAAATACTTCTATAAACTTATGTTTTTTCTGCATTAATAATGTGAAACTTATTAATACTGTATGTCTGATAATTGTGTTTTGCTTTCAGATTCTGTATGTTAAAAGCATCCCTGCTAAGGTTAAAAATGAAGTTTTGTTTGAAATATTTTCGGCAAATGGTGTCTTTGGTATTGAACGAATCAGAAGGATAAAAAATTCCGCCTTCATTCATTATTTCATTCGTAGGGATGCCGAATGTGTTTTAGCAAAAGTAAACGGTAAGTCTACTGGCGTCAACTCCAGTTAATTAATTTTCATATTAAATAATAGCTGTGGTTAGTACATTGCGTTGTGTTCACAATAACCCTGGTTCGCATGCTGGTCACGGTACCAGTTTTATAGAAGAAGCAAGGTTTCCAAGTTTTATGGAGGCATTGATTGTAGTAGTTTTGTAAATTCCTAGTACATTAGCGTTTGCAGTCATAGAATGATTACTGAAAATATATGAAACAAAAACTTGATTTATTACTGAATATTTTAAAAGCTAAACATATATGCCGATATCAACAAAATAAATAAATAATACGTTTGTTGTCAAAAAATTATTACTACAAATATTTGAAACAAAAACTTGATTTATTAGTGAGTATTTTTAAAGCTAAACAAAGATGCCTATATCAACAAAATAAATAAATAATACGTTTATAGTCAAAGAATGATTAACACAAGTATTTGAAACAAAAACTTGATTTATTACTGAGTATTTTTAAAGCTAAACAAATATGTCTATATCAATAAAATAAATAAATAATACGTTTGTAGTCAAAGAATGTTTACCACAAATATTTGAAACAAAAACTTGATTTATTACTGAGTATTTTTAAAGCTAAACAAATATGCCTATATCAACAACAACAACAACAAAATAATGCGTTGCAATCTCCCTCTTGAGAAACGAAGAGATCTATTTTTATATAATGATTTTTTAAAATTTTCAACGGTCGAACTTTTGTACTTTTTAACGGTCGGGGGGGGGTGCGTCGGACATCTAAAACCTCTTACGACGATATCGCTAAATATTTCTATTCTTGGCCGGGAATATAAGGGTAAAAAATACACATCACGGGCACCAGGGGTCTGTTTAGAAGAAATTTGGGTACGTTAACGGACCCTTCGCAATATATCTTTTCATAAAAACGGACCCTTCACAAAATATTTTAACTTAAAAACGGACCCTTCACAAAATAATTTATCTTTTAATCGGACCCTTTACAAATTTGTTTATTTTAATTATTGTTTTGTTAATCGAATAAACCCTTCCCAGGGGGGGGGGAGAGAAAGACAGATGTAAACGAACTAAGTTTTGTCTTCGCAGACGCTTCTTCCTTTATTCGTCCGAAATGATTAATTTTGCAGCGTTGAGCATAATCTTGATTATCCTTGCAAATTAAAAACTACTTGAAAAAGCTTTTCGCAATAACAGGACCCTATTTACACAAATTCACAAAAGCAGGACCCTGGTTGAAAGAATGTGACTTAGCGTTTATTTTATATTCACAAATTACGAGTAAGTTTTTCACAATTTTACAAAAACGGACCTTTCACAAAATGTCTGGACAGCCCCCTGATATTAATTTCAAACTTTATTGCCCCCGTATATTTTTACTTACAATTTTTTATAATGTACCAAAAAATATGCCTTTAAGGTTTCATTACAAAAGCATAATTAAACAATACAAATGTTTAAAAAAAAACTAGTTGAAGTAAAAACCTTTTCTTAATTGTCGACTATAAATTCTTGTATAAAATTTTCATTTTTATTTTATTATTTTTTAGGTCTTGTGTGGAATGGATGGATTGTAGAAGTTACTTGGGCCAAGCTTTATCCATTTAATAAGCGAACAACAACAGCGTATGATAGAAATAATGCGAATGATACCAGGTAGGAAAAGTTCAAAAAATATTACCCTGAAATTAATAAAATTATTAATTAAGCTCTGAAACTTACTTAGTTCTCTCTCGCTTACGTGCTGCAGCGCGAGAATTACGCCAGAAATCGTTGAGGAGACGCGGAAAAAAAAAAAAAAAAAAAACAGTTATTTCGCGTCCCAGAGGCCGCCATAACTTCGTCCTCTGGGACACTTAATTTTCGATAATAAAAAAAAGGGTGGGCTATAGATTTTAATAGGCAAAAATAAACTAATCTTTAAACAGAAAAAATAAATAAAATGTGAAAAACAAAAAGAAATCAAACAAAAATTGAAAAATTCTTTTGCAAGAAACACACTATGCGAGGGTAAATTTTAAAGAATTATGATGATGTCAGTTGAGATTGCTGTCACTTTTGAGGAGGTATTAGGTAAGAGTGCAGAAGACTGAAAATATAAATTAGAGATTTTTATTTTTTTAAAAATAGGAATTCACTTTTTGTAATAAAAAAAGAGGACTGAAGGTTGAATGTCCTATGTTCTAGGACTCGTAGTTCTCACAATATAACGGAATTAATGCCGTTTTTTTTAAAAAAAATTTTTTATAAATTTTATTTAATTAACGCTTTTAATTTTAAAATCAATCTTTTTACATTTCTGTCAAAGAAAAATTGTTTTCTTTTTTTATTAAACTAATATTGTGATTGTTCTTCTTATTATAGCGAACTTTAATTCTATGAGAATTATTAATCGAATTGTTGGTGATTTTTAAAGATGTCAATGAATTACATATGATGATTTGTATTAATGCGATTTGAATCACATCTCGATTATTTTCATTTTTTAAAGTTCGCTAATTATTGGTTATTTGGCTCAGGTTAATTCTGGCTGTTTTTCCGTTAAAATCGAATTTCAATTAATCTCTTAAAAAACAGAATTTTCTGTTATAATTTTTTTACAACTTATAATCAGAATAAGATTTTTTTCACTTTTAAAAATATTTTGGAAGCAAAATTAATAGGAAAAAAAATGTATTCTTTTTAAAATACGGTTTTGAATTTGTTTTCATTTGTTGATATAATTTAAATACATAAATTTTTTTCCTGAACCGAAATATTATTTTACTTTTTTTAGGAACACTGGACCGTTCGATTTTCAATTTCCAGCTCAACAAACTCGCCCGTTAACCAGTAATCCTGTGCAGGTTTGTTGAAGAAAAATAACTATTAACAATTAACAACAATAATAAAACTATCATTAATTTAACTAATCAATTAATATTGAAATCGTTATTGTAACTTTATTATTATTTTGATAGATGATTTAAATTAATCTGTTAAAAAATATAATATAGAATGTCCAGAACTGGAGCTTTTCCGTTATTTGTATTGATTTCAGTACGGACTCTTTCATGGGTTTTTGTACTACTTGCATTGTTTTTTTTTTGTTTTTTTTTTAAATTGAAATTTGGGGCGGGGGGTACTACGTTCACTGCCTGCCGAGTGCAGGTGGTTATACTATATCTATCATTAGAAAGTGGTTATCTATGAAGATAAAATTAAAATTAAATTTCCCTATTTTAGCAATCATTTTAGTTTTTAAATTTTACATCAAGCTTATTTTTTTATTATAAAAGAAAACAAGATTTGTTCACAAAAAAAAAAATCATTTTGACGTACTTTTCAGGATTTAGGATTTTTTCATATCCAGAATTTAGGATTTTATCATATTTCGCGAGATGACGAATGCATTCCTCCCCTTCCCCTAAAATTATTTAAAAAAATACTGTTTTTATAAACCAAGCTAATGTTGTAAAATTAATGACTATTAAGTCTCAAGATGAGTATTATTTTAAATTGTATTCATTATTAAATTTTTTTTATATCTAGCCTATACTTCCTTATTATTATTATATTTATTTCATTGCTTGAGGTATATATTTTAACCTTATTAATTATAATTTTTGAAATTAGGTAAAGATGTAAAAAATAAGTTTTATTAGTTAGTCTATCAAAATTGTACTTTAAGTAATAAGCTAAAAAAAATTAAATATGACTTATAAGTTTCCAATAAAAATTGAATTTTGTCGAAAAATGAGATCCTATCAGTATTTCAAAAAAAAAAGAAAAGAAACCAGAAGCACACGAACACTACTATATGTAATAATTTCTAGATATATAATTTTAGTTTCATAATAATAACTCCATTTCTACCCAGCAGATGGCAGTACTTGAACAAAAATTCAGATGGAAAGCTTTTAAAGCTTCCGAAATGTTCAACTGTCGACCGGGACCGGTGGCGTGGTCTTGTAATCCAGCTACTTGGAGGTCTAGGCTGTTGGACGGCTTGAGGTTGGGAGTTCTGTCCTCCGCTCGCCTATGTTGATCAGGCGTCCGCATTAAGCACGATGTCGATATGGTGGAACCGGAGGAGTCCGGAATTACCAGGTCGTCTAAGGCGGAGCGAACCGGCCCAGGTCGGAAACGGAGCAGGCAAAAGCTCCCGCACCGTGCAGTAATGGGATAGCGCTTGTGAATAGAGAATGGTTGGCAGCCCATCCAATACAGTCGGACACAGTCTTTTTTTAATTTCTTTAAAATCCACTTTATTTTTTAATTGATTATTTTAAAAGTTTTATTTATTTGAATTAATTTAAATTCTCATTTCTAAAATTTAAATTAGAATAAGTTGATACACTCTTATAATTCAAGATTTTAATATCACGCTGTATTGTCAGGAAATATCGATGTTTTCAATTGACTAATATAATTTTTATATTTGCCGATATTTCCATTACCTAAATAGAATAAATTTATTCACACGATAATATCGTTAATACTTGCGATATTATTGCAAGTACGATGGTACTGATTAACAATTTATCTGGAGAGTTATTTTAAAGAGTATTTTTATCGCGCTGCAAAGAAAACTCTATGTTTCTGAATACATCAATAAGCTTTAGCCTTATGCTTATGTTTTAACAACTAGTTCCAAAATGTATTCTTTAATCTTAAATTCGTTCAGACATTTGGTGTATTAAGACTTATCAGAATAAATTCCTGTATTTTATTACAGTCAAACTAGATTATTTTTTTTTATTATTTAACTTTTATAGTCGGGCACTTTAATTTCATGTGATAAATATTTTTTATTAATTTAATTTCATAATTTTTTAAAGAAATAGCAAACAATACGTTACGAATTTCATACTTAAATTATCTTTCTTATGTACTCCCATATTTTATAACTCCTTTTTTTATTAATTAATGTTGCATACATAGGCCCTTTAATTTCATATAATAAATATTGTTTATAAATTTAATTTCTTCTGTTTTTTAAATGAATCGTAAACAATATTTTTTCATTACGAATTTCCTCATTCATTTTTTTGATCTTATATTGTGAATTTCGATTGTAATAAAAAAAACTAATTAATAATTTGTGTAAAAATAAATCGTTTCTAATTTTAAAAAAATATGTTGTTCTCAAACACTCCAATAAATATTGTTTTAGTGACAAAATTATTGTTCATACATTAATATTTCAAACAAAAGTATGCATTGGATATTAAATAAATGATATTACTAATTTTTTTAAAATATGCTATTAAAATATAAATCATATACCTAAAAAGAAAAATGATTTTACTATTTGTTTTGTTTTAAGTAAGTTTAATATTTAGTTAATATTTTTTTTTTGTGTAATTGTTCTTTTAATTTCTGCATATTTGAATGCAAATTTATTTCAAGTGCATTATAAATTTTTAAAGAGAGTTTGATTCATTATGGCAGCACATAATAGATGGCAGCACGTCATATTTCTTAGAAATTTCTTAAAAACACTTTTTTTCAATAATTTCTAGCTAAAAATGCTCGAATATATCTTCTTTATTTGACTTAACACGGGTAAACTTTCATAAGAAAAATTCTAATTTTAGTTAACGAAAGCTTAGTTTGAGAATAAAAAAAATAATTTGAAAGTATTTTTATGGCGCCATCTATGGGCGCTTCTTAGTTTTATATTTGTCAAACAGTTTTATTTAATGGCTCCATCTTTTGGAACCTACTAGTCTATAATTCCCAAAATTATTCTTGTGTCGCTATTTAAGACTTCTCATTACTCTTATGAGTAAAGAAAACCAGAGAAGTAACAGTGTCAGTAACAGTGAAGTAACAGTAATCTATTATGTAAATGTTAATTTGAAAAAAAAGAAGGAAAAAAAACAAGTCCATTGGGATTTTATTTTGTGGCTTACATTTGAATAAATACATTCTGTGCATTATTATTCCAGTAATTAAAATTTGATATTTTGGAGAGGTAACTCATGTACCAATACAGATTCTGTACTGTCTTCTAATGAGTGCTGTAGTTGGAAAACAATATTTGGGGAATTTCATATCTTTATAAGGTATACGTCAGAGTTGAGTGATTTTTGTAAAGCCATAAAACGACCAGTTTAAATTACTCGACCAGCTATCATTGAGGGGGGGGAGGAAGAAAAGAAAACAGATGTTAGCTAATTTCTATACTTTTATGAAAATGAACTCGTAACTGTCAATAAATTATGAAATCGCGTAAAATGATTTATTTTTTGTTTTAGTGCTGCTAGTTATTTTAATCTCCATGTATAAGAAAATAACAACTAAATTGAGGGGAAAAAAAACTGGAAATTATTGTTACCAGGTTTTCATCTCTGCAATTATGTGTTTTGGAATCTGTTACTTATTCAGTTTTAAAGCTTTAATTGGAAATACAGACACACTAAATCCTGCTTAATTCAATAAGCATATTTAAAAGATGAAATTCTTGGTTTTTAATAATCCTTTTTCTCCGATTTCAACTGTCAAAATATTTTTTTAATCTTCTTAATTTAATTTTCACAAATAAACTGATGGATATTTACTCTATTTGACACTATTTTTCGCACGCTGAACACAAGGTCACACATGGAGCATAGCGTTTTTAAAAAGTGCTTAAAGGTGCTTATTTTCGTTTTTTAAAAACCTTTAAAGGCGCTTTTTTTGGGGGAGGGGGAGTGTGTTTTTAAGTGTTTAATTTTCCCTTTTCGAAAATGAGTTCTTTTCTTTACAATGTCGAGTTTCGCCACGTATTATGCAAAAGCGTGCTTTTCACATTGTTCTATTCAACGTTTTAACAATTCATTCAACCACAATCAATCTATTTCGGCTTACTGTCGGTCCGTACATGTGAAAGTACGTGTCCCAATCATTTTACATGTTCAATGAAATACTTGCGGGTCCGCATGTGCGTATACTGAGCTCAGTTCGGTGAGATTCTTGCATTCTCATGTGCACCTCTGCTGCATTTTGCAAAATATTCTCAATTTTAGGCTTCATTTTCCACCCTCTGAAATCGAAAAATCTGTCGATCTTTTCATGGTGGCTAATATAATCAAGAAAAGAGTTCTTGGTCAGAAACTCGTTATTTCATCATGATCATGTAAAAATTATTTTGCATTTTCTTAATGTACATAGTGCTTAAATATTTTTTTGAGTGCTTAAGAAGTATTTTAAAGGTGCTTATTTTTTGTTGAGAGATTTAGCTATGCTCCCTGTCACAACCCAATAAAAATTAGAGATAGAAAGCATGCGGTATTTTAAATTCTCTATTCATTTTTTCTTGCAAAATTATACCAAAACAATTCTGCAATTAACAGATTTTGAGAGGTATGCAGTTGCCTATTAGATTTTGAATAATTATCTTTGTTTTTATGCAATTAACATAAAAGGAATTTTTCAGGATTATCCAAATCGGTAAACTACAATAAAATTAGGTTTTAAAATAAATTGAGGAACGTTAGTTTTAAATTACCCAAAGCCACAAATCGCTTTAATTTGTTTCTTTTAAGCTTTGAAGAAATTTTATTGAAGTTCTGAAATTTATATAACGTTATTTCTCCTCGTCTAACCTCCTTATTTTCTACCTGTTGAAAAAGGTGTTTGTGCTGTCTATTAATAATGCATCATTAAAAGTTTAAGTACAAAAAATATCATGTGCTGTTTATTAATAATGCATCATTAAAAGTTTAAGTACAAAAAATATCATGTGCTGTCTATTAATGCATCATTAAAAGTTTAAGTACAGAAAATATCATGTGCTGTCTATTAATAATGCATCAGTTTAAGTACACGAAATATGTGCTGTCGATTAATAATGCATCATCAAAAGTTTAAGTACAAAAAATAGCATGTGCTGTCTATTAATAATGCATCTTTAAAAGTTCAAGAAAACGTAAATTAAAAATTTACCATAAATTCCAAAATGGCGAAGGGTTGAAGCATTTTAATGAGGTAACTAAAAAAAAAAAAGAAACATTTACTGCTCTTATTTCTAATTGCTGCAAATTCCGAAATAAAAAGTATTAATTCTGCAAAAGAAATATGAATAATAATTATGGTTGCTGTTACTCATTATTATTTAGATGTTGTCAGATATCTGTTTATCTAACGGCTGGGGAATGCCAGTTTACAATCATCATGTTACCGAAGCTTCTGTGAGTAATCCATTTGCCACACACAGTGTGAAAGTAAGTATAGTTTGTCTAGGGTTAGAACTCCCCTCGCCACAAAGTCTGAGGCCGTCTGTTGCTATGGGAACAAGAATAGCGCATTTCAGATAGGGTAGCTTCTATTCACTCTAGGGCTAACACAATAGATCGGGAAAAAAAGATACCTATCCAGTAAAACTTGCAAGTTCTTTTTTCTTTTAATTTCCATAACGTGAAATAATTTTCACACTAAACTTTTCTTGGCATAAAACAAATTTATTTGAACACATAATTATGCCTCAACATAAACATAAAATGAAGTGTAAAGAAATAATAGTAAATCGCATCGTCAAAAAAAGCTTCGTTCCTTTCTAAAACATTCTACTCCGAGCTAAACAGAAGAAAGATTCTTTTTTATTCAATTCTTAAGTTTTGTTGATATCTCGTGGCGCCATCTAGTGGTTTCAAACCTAAATCACCCTCTCGTTTATCCGAGCCAAAAGCTGCCCTAAACAGTGACATCCCTACTTAAAATAGTTACTGTTTACTGTACTTACTAGTTAAAATAGTTACAACTTACTTGCACGAACTAAAAGAGCTACGTCAATCCAATCAAGTCTATACACATCCCTACTAAAAAGATATATATACATTTGTTTATTAAGATTTCTCTATATCTAGTAATACTTTCATCTCTATTAGTTTTTTTTTTTAACGCTATTTTTTTTTCTTTCCTTCTTATTAATTTATTTGATTCATTTCTTTTCAATAATTTCCTATTTCACATGTATATTTTTTTGTTCGTCTTATTTCTTTTTAAATTCCACACTTTCAGTAAAAAAAAAAAAAAAAATTAAATATCATGTTATATAGGCTGGAGTGGAGCTGGATTAGTGGCCAAGTCTTGGGCTATATGGTTAAGGGTATTTCATAACCTAGGTACATGCCCAGGACTTGGAGGAAAGAAAAAAAAAAAAGTTACTGGGCACCGCTAAGTCCAGACTAATGGTTAGGGGAGTTCTTACTTTAGACAAAATATAATATTCTTATTTTTATCAATAAGTACTATTTTCAAAGTACAATTTCTTTGTCCTTAAAACCGTTGTTGAAGGCTTCTCTTTCTGTTTTGAACTAGTTAAATTATTAATAATACTAATTCGAATTTTTTTTTATTTAATTGAATTCTAATTGCATTTTCAAATAAAATAAAACTGTTGTTGATTTTTATATGTATACAAATTACTCCTAAATAATTTTACAATGTTGTTTTGAATTGGCACAAAATAACCAATTAATACCATAAATTAGCATTCGTTTTCTTATAGAATTAGGATTGACTGCAAAAATACAGGACGAACGATATATTTTTTCGTTTATAGATGGTGTTTTCTACACTAGGGTGTACTGCAAGCTCTTTATTGCCTATACTTCCGGGTTACTTTTTCCGGTGTATTTTGAATCCGTTTGGCTCACACCTGATCATTGTGTTTTGAGACTCTTGCTTAGTAGTGAAGTGAAACCTCCAAGAAAGACCACCTCTGTGTAGCGACCACCCTATTTATGACCACTTTTTTCCGTAGACTTAGTCGAAAATAACCTTAAGGAAAGACCATTAATATCCCTTTCCTCTATATTGACGTTTTGCGTCACTTTCAAAATAAGCGTTGACAGAGCTGGCCTTAGATAGGCTAAACTTGACCTGACAGTCTCATTAATAAGAGTTGCAAACTCACAGTAGTTATAAAAATAGCATAATAAAAATAGCATATTATTCGCGCGAAAAAGCCATTTCATATTACGACGGAGCCTTCGAAAAACAACCTTAAATATTCCAGGGTGCGTAGCGTTTTTAAAAAGTGCTTAAAGGTGCTTATTTTCGTTTTTTTAAAAGCCCTTAAAGGTGCTTTTTTTTTCATTAGGTGTTTTTAAAAAGTGCTTAATTTTCCCTTTTTCAAATGCGATTTTTCTTTTACAGTCAAACCTCGATATCTCGAACTTGATGGGAGAGGTGAAAAAATTCGAGATACCGAAAATTCGAATTATCGAAAATCGCATGTTATCGATAATAGAATAAAGAAAAATGCTCTTTACGTACCTTATATACTATTCCATATTTATTCTATAGACACTTTTTGCACTTTCATTTAAAAAATATTCAATTGTTGTTTACTTTAGAGATGTGTAAGAAAGTTTGTCTATAACTATGTTATTTCGGCGTATAGTCAGTCCGCAGCGTATGAAAACGCCATTCGTTTTACATGATTCAAAATTTCATGATTTTTGACAATTGTCAAAAACAATGCCAAAAGATTTTTTTTTTTTTGCATGACGGTTAAAACAAAATAAAGCCATCGATTGTCAAAAAATTTCCAACTCTGCCTAATTAGATTTTTTTGAAGTGCTTAAAAATATTTTTTGAGTGCTTGAAAAGTGCTCAAAAGGTGCTTATTTTTTGTTGAATAATTTAGTTACGCACCCTGAAAGTGCTTATTTTTTGTTGAATAATTTGGCTACGCAACCTGAAAGTGCTTATTTCTTATTGAATAATTCGGCTACGCACCCTGTATTATTTTACGACCCTTGTGTTTATTTTTTCACTAGGATTCTGAAAATACACCCAACAAATATTGCATGTTCGATAATAATTAGAAGTAGTAAGCTTTCTGTTATTTCGATGTTCTATTATGACCTCCGGATTACGTGAAATTTTCAAACTGATATAATAGATTCATTTTCCTAAACTGGCACTATAGATTCATTTTCCTAGATGGCTAACTTAAAGAACTAAAGTATATTTTTTTCTGCTACGCTTGAGTTTTTTTCTTCTCTACTACTGTTTATAGATATTTGAAATATGATATAAGAATTAACGAGCTCAGTTGTTTAAAGTGACATTTTTTGAAATAATAAAGATTTATCATGAAAGTCCTTATTTTAGTTTTCTTTACTAGACTATACAACATCCCTTTATTTGCAAAATCTCTTAGTTTCGTGGACCTCAATAGATGACGGATCTAAGTGACACTCCCTGAGTGAAAGAACGATTCAAGTGCACTTGACAAGAAGCAGCTGACGAATTACATTAAAAACAACCTGTCTTTTAGCAGCAAATTAAAACGCCAACAGGGGTCTGTTTAGAAGAAATTTGGGAAGAACCCTTCACAAAATATCTTTTCTTAAAAACGGACCTTTCACGAAATAAATTATCTTTTTATCGGACCCTTCACAAATTTGTTTATCTTCATTATTGTTTTGTTAATGGGAGAAACCCTCCCCCGGGGGGGGGGGAGAGAAAGGTGGTTTGAGACACACTAAGTTTCCCTAAGTTTAAATTCCAAATGTAGTATTCTAAGAAAATATTTCTACTTTTACAAACATCGTAAACGCGTTCTTATTAATATTAAATCATAGTTTGTTTTGTGAATTAATGATTGATCAATTTATATTTATTCAGAAAATTAATTAATAGAATATTATGTAAATAAAAATCAATTTCTGGCAATTTTTTGAATAAAATATTATAAATTTTCGAATTGTTTACGTTTACTTAATGCGTAACAGATTAAAAGTGTTACATTACTAACTTGCGTTATTTAAAATATGTCAATTAAAATATTATTAAAAATGTATGTTTTTGTTTCCATTATTCGTCCGAAATGAATATTCTGTGTTGATCAGTATAGGCTAAATACCAAATATTTGTATGTTGCATCTGTAATTTAGTAACAGAAATTATTGAGCAGAATCTCGTATCTATTTACAATTTGAAAAGGTTTTTTTTAGCAATCTTTGCAATAACAGGACCCTATTTGCACAAATTCACAAAAGCAGAACCTTGGTTGAAAGAATGTGACTTAACGCTTATATTATATTCACAAATTGTGAATAGTTTTTTCACAATTTTACAAAATCAGCACCTTTCACAAAATGTCTAGACAGACCCCTGACCAAGAAAGTGACGGAAACGTGTTAAATAAATGATTTATAGATTTCGCATATTGGAAAATAGCGATCAAGAAATAATGACTATGCTTAGTTTTCATTCTCTGTAATCATACATATTTTAATGCAAATTAACTCAAAGTCACGGTGATGTCACTTGGATCATTTATTCACCCACATCTTCTATTACATTGTTATTATTTATATTTGTTCTTGTTTTAAAAGGTGTATATACCAAATATACCATATGTGGAGAAGCAATTTACACCTCCTGGATATTTCTTTTCACCAAGCGAAGCTCAGTGTTGCTCTGCTTTATTTGTTCTGACGAAATTAGGATTCATCGATAGTGGTAAGCAAAGATGTTTAACTTACGTTACATACAAACTCCTTTACAGAGTCGCGGTGGCGCAGGGGATAGAGCGCTTGCCTCCAAATCAGCTGTCCCAGATTCGAAACCCAGCTTTTACTGATCGATACGAATTCTGCACCTGGCTTGCACCGACCACAGTGCTAATGTAAAATATCCTTACTGGAAGTCGGGTCATAGGTTTAAGTCCCCTTGCCGTGAGGCCAACTGAGGGAGGGTTGCGAATCGAGAGTTGCATAGCAACCCATAGTCGGAAAGGTCATACGCCGCTAGACGCATTTATCGTACGCATTTTAACCAGTATTTTACTGTTGACATTGTCGTAATTTTATGTTATTCAGTAATTATTATAAAAAAAATTAATATCAAATATGACCAGAAATTTTTTTTCTTGGACAGCCAGTTATAAAGGCGATGCGCCCCTAGTGGCGTAGGATAACATATCTGATCATGGGAAGCTATTAAGTTCTCAATTCTTATGACGTACCCAACCTCTCTTTCAAGTTTGTAAGTGAGGTTGTTCGTGCGCATTTTAACCAGTATTTTACTGTTGACACTGTCGTAATTTTATGCTTTTCACTAATTATTATAAAAAATTGCTATCAAATATGACCAGAAACAAATTTTCTTGGACAGCCAAAGCGATGCGCCCCTAGCGGCGTAGTATAACATATCTGATCATGGGTAGCTATGAAATTCAGAATTCGTATGACGTACGCAACCTTTCTTTCACGTTTGTAAGTGAGGTACTGAATAAGATTTTACAAATGTTAGAAATAGTAATTCTAAGTTTGGAATGAAGTGACCCAGGTTCAAATCTCAGCGTTAGTCGGTCGATACGAATTTTGCTTCCGGCTCAATCAACCACAGTAGTGACCTAAAACTCCTCAGTAGTAGACAGAAGTTTGAGGGTTGGAATCTCCTAGTCATCGGGCTAATCGTGGGAGGTTTTTCGTGGTTTTCTTCTCCATTAAACGTAAATGCGTCTTCTCCATTATTAATTGCAACGTTTTTGTCCCAGAATATTTAATGTTTCCTCCGTACTATTATAATCTGTAGAGAATGATTAAGTAAGTCAGTTACAAACTTGGAGAAAAGAGTAAAGCATTTTTGCTAGCATTCAAAAAAATCCCAAAAACAGATATTTAATTATATCATTATTTGATTTGGCGATTAACTTGTCACGTCGCCAAGTATTAAAATAAGGATAGAAAAGCTATTTATGTGCTTCTTTAAATACAATTTTTGACGATAGTAACTAGAAAATAAAATCACCTAAAAATTTGGATAATTTAGTAAAATAAAAGTACATGTTCGAATGCGCACGAGGAGCCAGTCCAAAAATAAAAGCTCCATTTGCGGTGTATGATAACATTTTCAGCCTAGGGTTGCTGTGCAATTCTTAACCTTTTTGATATGCCCTACTTTCTCTCCAAATTTGTAATCGTAGTAATGAATTAACCTTCACAAATTTTATTATAAAAATTATGATTTATCGAATTTAACTTTTGTTTGATGAAAGGGCGTAAATGTCTTTAAGTGTTTAAGGGGGTAAAAATGTCTCAAGAAACTTAATTTAATTTTCATTAATTAAGAATTAGAAAAAATTACTATTAAGTCTCAAAATCGGAGTAATATACTTTACACGGTATTTTCATTTCGTCAAATGGACCCTTAATAAAATTCAGTAATTTAAAAAAGTAACGTAATTATAACGTTCATTGTTATTGTTGTTTCTAATGCAACTTTGCCAATTCAGCAGCCTGCTTGGTGAAATTAAGCGTACTTAAGGCAGACAGTGCTATTCTTGTTTTCCCTTGGTGCCATCTCTGGCCAAGAATATGATTTCTGCCACACACACGTCACCGCCCGTTTATGAAGCAGACCCATTCATTCCGCCTCAAATCGTAGTTTTGACCTGTACCAAAGAGCGATCAATCTCCAATTCAGTACCCCCAGAGGTATGATTTGTTGTGGAAACATAGAGGACTTCGTGACACGATAGATTTAACGTACACCAGTTACCATTTACTACACGGGGTGTCTTCGGCCAGTGGGGATCAAACTCACTACCTATTGGACATTAGCCCAACGCCCTACCAACTAGTATTTATTGTTCTTAAGTTTATGATTCTTTGTAAGATATGGTTATTTCTCTTTTTTCTAAACTTATGTAAAAACAGAATCATGGAAGAAAACCCCGATTCGACGCTAATTTTAGATTCAAACGATTATGAATAGATTTTTCACAAAAAGGGATCTTTCAGAAAAACAGATTTCTAGTTATTTTGATTTTGCACTCAAAAACGAGATCTTATATTCAGAAATTTATAAAATTTTGTGAAGAATATTTGCAAAACGTCTGTAAAGGTCTTTACTAATATTTCTCTGATTTGTTATGGCTTATTGTTTTTTACAGGATGTAATGCTCTGAAATACAATTCTCTTGAACAAATGGACAGAAAACGATCTATATGGTCACAGGATGATTTTGAAGCTAAAGTTAAGACTGCACTACCGCTTATGCAGAGCCCTGGACCCTTATCAACTTCTAATCTGAGTAAGTTTTTCTTTTAAAATTCATACTCGTTTTTATGTTATAACCGGCGTTGATCAGCCGATCCAATTCTGATTATACGACAATCGATGTTAAACTATGTGACCTCGTACCTTTGAACGTAACGCAGAAGACAACAAGGAAATCAAGCTTTGAGACAAACTAGCAGTCGTGGGGGACTTTATCGATGGAACAAACCCTCATTTGCGTTACAAGGAAGCAATAAACATAAAAACCTCTCACGATTAGCACGACAGCTAGGGAATTCTATCGCATGATTAGCCTACCACTGAGGACATTTTAAATAAGCACTATGGTCAGTGCAAGAAGGTAACAGAATTGGCGTCAACCTGGGTCACTTTGGCACCGCGGGTCGCGTTACGTCACCTTTATCCCTTGAGGCACCGCGGCTAAATTCATACTAATTGTCGAAAGAATACAGTTTGGAAAAGAAATGCCAAGTTAATAAATTGCGTTAATATATTGAAATTTCCATGAGTTAATATGTAGGGTTCGAAATAAAGTAAGGAAAGCCTAATTACTTAAGAATTAATTATTAAATTAAATTATTAAAGTCTAATTATCGTGCTTACAGACACTGGAATTGCTATCACAATGATTCAGGGGGTGGGTGTTATGCCAATTAAATAATGCAGATGATATTAAAGTTGCGAAATCTCTCAAAACGTTAAATAAGCATTTTTCTTTTCTTTTCCGTGTTTAGATTCTTAAGTCCCAATGCGTAAAAGATAGCTGAATAATTTGCCTACGCACCATGTAAGAGATTTTTTTTTTTTTTTTTTTTAACATTTCGATTGATATTGCTTAGGGCTTAATTTTTTTCAAGGGATCAAAATTTGATGTTTATTGCGAATTAGTACAAGATTTAAAAATAAAATTAATTAAAAACGTCTCTGTTAATTCCAAAGATGATTTAAGATGTATTAATATGATATATGTATTAAAAGTTTTTAGTGAATTTCTAAACTTTATTTTCTTTTTTATGCATTTAATATTTAAATCATGGAAATATTATAGTGAATTTATGATTAGTTTTTTCTTCTACTGTTTGACTTGTAGTATTTTCGGTTATAGATACTTAATTTTGTCCCAAAACCCAATATTTTCTATTTACAGCTTGTTTAGTGTTTTTGGCTCCACTTTATTTTGTTCAAGATCTTAAATTTCCATATTTGATATCAATATCAATCAGTTAAGTGAAATTATTAACGATTTTTTCCTTTTTCTCTTCACAGTTTGACTTGTAGTCTTTCTTGACTAAAGAGACTTTAATAAGTTTAAATTCATTCTGTAATATCAATTTAATTTTTTAGTGAATTTCTCAATTTTTTATTTTATTTTAGCAGTTGGAGCAGAAAGACTAAAGAGACTTCATTTTATTCCAGAGGTCAAAATTCAATGTTTAATATCAATAGTAATTAAATGTAAAATAAAATAGTAAAATTTTAATCCATAACATGGTGCATAGCCTTTTTAAAAGTACTTAAAGGTGCTTATTTTCGATTTTCGTTTTTTAAAAAGCCTTTAAAGGTGCTTTTTTCATTGGATGTTTTTAAACAGTGTTTTTTTCCCCCTTTTCTAAAATGAGATTTTTTTTCCGTTACCATGTCGATTTTCGCCACGTATGAAATTTTTTTTTGCATTTTGTTAATGTAAATAGTGCTTAAAAGTATTTTTTGAGTGCTTAAAAAGTACTTAAAAGGTGCTTATTTTTTGTTGAAAGATTTGGCTACACACACTGTATAATTTAAATTCAATTTCTAAAGAGACTGAATATACCAAGACACATAAGTTTAATATTAATCGAATATTTTAATGAATTTCTGAGCAATTTTTGCAAATCTATTTTCACATTTATTTCTCTCCATTTTATAACTTCATTTTGTTTCAGGACTTAATGCAGATCCTTTAAATTTACTTGCTGTAGCTGCTTCATTGGTGAATGAAAATATTCAATCCAAAAATGATAACAGAATTTTTTATTGAAATGGGTCATAGGAAAGGTAATAGTAGTCATAATATTATTACCATTTGTTTATTGATTAAACATTCTAAAAAAGCGTTGTATATATGTCTAGCAATTTGGATAGCATAAAATAGTTGGGAAAAATTTTCAGACTTCTTGAAAAATGAAAAAAATGTCTCATAATGTGAGGAAAATTTTTCAGATAACTGGAAATTCTGGAAAAAAGATATATGTTTAATTTTAAAGTCGAAACTATTTTTAATCCGTGTATAAAAGATTAAATTTTTGCATAACTAAATAATTTCTTAAATTTTTTAATGTTAGAAAAAAAGCATATTTTGTCTTATACTGCTTTTTTTCTCTGTTTTACTTTGTTCTTGTAAGTTTTCCTAATTTTATATGTTGAAAAAAAAATTATATACTTTTTTGCCCTTAATTTGTTTATATTTATTAAAATATTGAATATTTGTATTATATGTGTTGTTAAATATTCGTGATAAATTTTATATTATATATTGTTAAATATTCATGTTAAATTTTGCATTATATATTGTTAAATTATTCATGATATATTTGATATAAATCGTAAAAATACGAAATACTTTGTAATAGGAATCGCGATAGGTAATTTTAAATTGCTTTTGCATTGGTAGAAAAAACTACATACAAATCATACAAATGAATTTTTTTTTCATTTTTAGCAATAGCAGAAAAAAATCCGCGCAGACAAATTTTCCTCAAAAGGCTTTCACACTTTCGTATATATTATACGGGTATGAATATTAAACATTCAACATTTATCATAACACATGGTTTGTATTATAAATATATATATTATGAGATAAACATTTCAAAATATCATCGATAATTTTAAAAAGTATCGGCTATTTACAAACTTTTTTCTAGTACTCAGTTTATAATAATATTTATGAAAATGTTTTTTTCTTATATAAATCATCTAGATTGCACTGATTAATGCTGCAGGAAATAATATGAAGATCCTGATGAAAACAATTTTTGTGAATTATGAACAATGATTTTCGTGTAACATAAAATCAAATTTTTACGTGCTGTGAGCAAAATTTTGTAAAACTTTTAATCTAAAATATTTTATGATTCCAAATTATATTTAATGAAATTATGTGTTTAAAAAACTATTTCAATAGAATCAAATTTGGGTGAATTAAGATGAACATTTGCTACTATCAGTAAATCATTATGTATTTCAATAACTTGGGCAATTTTGTTTATAAGCATTGAATTAACTTAAATTTAATGTATATAAACATAAAAATGTTTTTAAGGGAATTTCTTTTTTTATGATTGTTAATCTAAAATCTTTCTTGAATCACTTAATTTTTTAATATTATTACTCTCATTTAATACTTAAATAAAAAAATGTATTCTTTATTGCTTATTGTTAATTACAAGAAATCTGTTGAATTGTTTGATAAATATTTTTATGTGTCATTTAATTATCTTGTTCTTTATTTATATTGAAGTGTTACTAATAGTTGATATATCTGTTATATCACTATTGCTTAATGAAATTATTATTATTATTACGTAAAATTAGAATAATTTTTATCATATGTAAAATTTAAATCGTTTTTCAAATTACTAAAAATATATTTGATAACTATGTAACTTAAATGAATTAGAAGCTCATATTAGATGTTTCAAGTACAATAAATTATTTGTAATTAAATTAAATCATGAAATTAATCACATGATATTATGATTTCTCATGGTTTTAATATTGGTCTGTTTTATTATTTCATTAATAATTTTCAAATATCATTTACAATTTTTGGCAATTTCTTAATTTAAAGCAGTAATCAATCAATTTAATTCTTGATACCAGAATTGTCCATTTAATAATTTATTGATTGCAAAGTGATAATTAAAATATTCCATAAAAATATATCCTAAAACTTATTTTAAGATTAAAAATCACTAAAATTTTGTATTAATACATTTTAGTATAACTTTTTTATTATTTATTAGACGTTAGAATATTTTAATAATAAATTCCAAAAATATATTAAATTAATCAGTATAATTGTAACTTATTTAAAAATATATTGTATATTTTTACTCTTTATAAATAAAATAAAGAAAATTGATGTTTCAGTAAATACAAAATGTAGTTATACCAAATCAATTTCATCAAAATTTTTAAGTATTTTATTAAGTTATTTTAATGTGCTTTATTCTGCCTATTTTCTTATTTCGAATAATTTTACATAGCTATTTTTAAAGGCTAATATGTCTTTATTAAATCACTAAAATAAACATAACAAAAATCCTGTAATTAAGTGATGATTATTCATTAGAAGTTGTTGGTAAAAAAAAATGAATATTTAGATGATAAACATCTGTATAAAAATTAATATCTAAATCTAAATGTTATAAACATTTTATTCATTACATGATTTTGTGCATTCATGTTTTTACACTATCTTTTACATTTTAAAAACTAGATATACTTTATGGATTTAAATTTAAAAATTATTATCTGGCAAACATTCTAACAATTACTAAAAATGTTATTAAATAATTATCAAATATTATAAAACAATTTTTATTTATTAAATACATTAAATTTTTTTAAATGTATTTTGTACCAATTTAGTGATTATTTTAATTACATATTTTTATTGCAATTAATTGATGTTTCTCATTTCTTGTGTGTCTTTAATTACTTTTATTATTATTATTATCAATTTTTTTTTACTATGGTAAAAAACAATTATCCTATTAATTGTATTCATTTATATGGAATATAAGCTTGTTGATTTTCACCAATATTTTAGAAAGTAAATAACAAGTATTTATATTGTTAAAATTTACATGATTCAGCAAAAAATCTTAATGAAAAACTTTTTAACATGTACTGTCTAAAATGTATTGTGTTTGATTCTTTTTTTCATAATTATTTATCTTCTATTGTTATTAGTATAATATTGATTTCCTTTCTGGAATTAAATAATTATTTTATTTTATTATTGTATTTAATATTGTAGTTCTACTTGGTTCTTAATTGTTAACCTTCAACAAAAATTTGTAAAAATGTTTTTTGAAATAAAATTTATTATTGAAAAGAAGTTGGTATTTGTATGCATTTTTTATATCTCTATATATCTATTTATAAAACAATGAGCTTATATAAATTATTAATTTAATATTTTATATTATCCATTTGATTAATTTTTTTTTTAAATGTGTATATAAAAAAAAATTTATTGCATGAGGAACATGAATATTTATTCTTGATTAATGGTAATAATGTAAAATTTTTAAATTATTATACTGATCCAAAAACTGACATGATTAATTTTAATTTACTTCATCACTAACTTTTAAGTTTTTTTTAAAAATCTTTTAATATTTCTTTAAATATTTGTATCTTCAACTGATAAGATGCATTTTATGTTTTCAAAGATATTCTTCAAATATCACATACCAGAGGACAGCACTAGCAACGTTTGAAAAAAAATTTTCTTCAGTAATGAAAATTTTTACCTTTTTTTCTTATAACTTTTATTTTATTACCTTTACTTTCTCTTTTTTTTTTTTTTTTTTTTTTTTAAACCTTTTTTTTCCTTTCTTTTCTTTTATCATTTTTGAAACTAATTTTCAAATTGTTATTAAAAAGGATTTTAGTAAGCAATTACTTCTAATTTTACGTAGTATTTTACATCAATATTAAATAATAAAGTTTTGCTGAATTGAAAACGATTTAAATTTCAATTCAGAATATTTAAAAAAAAAACTATGAAATTTCATTTTTTGTTTTATTTATTTTCGAATATTTTCGCACATGCAGATAAGATAACTGTTTAATTTTAATCAGGTTTCCTTAAAAATAAAGTAGCAATTAATGTACATTTAATTAAATTAAATAATAAAGTTAAGACTATTTGAGGTAATAATAGATTTCATCAGAAGCCAATTTTTTTATTTTTTAAAAAAAGAGCATTCGAATACCATGCGTACAATCGAATTTACATTAGTCTAATGTTTAAATTACTAGTAAGCAAATCGAATAAAATATGAAAAAATAAGTCATACTTGCTATTGTTTCAAATGCAGTATAACTTAGTTATAAGAAGAAAACAATATATAAATTTCAACAAATGGTATTTTAATGCATCAATACAAAAAGCTTAAATACATATAATTATTTTTGTTGTAAATTTTACAATGATTAGTACAAATATTTCATACGATATTTGTATTTGTGGTACAGTACTCTCATAGTTGCTCTATTTTAGAACGAAATAATATTTTATGTATTAAATGATCGCCAATATCACATGCTATTTTAATAGCTATATTTGCTAGTCATTAAGTTTTCGGTTGCTTGTTTAAATAAAATCATGAAAAGACGAATGCTTCTAGAATTATTATTTTTTATTATTGAGGCCGCTTTACAATAGAAATATTTTACCAAATGATCAGAATTTTTCGTTTAACTGAATACCATAATTTCAAAGTGAGATTTTTCCTTTACTATGTTGATTTTCGCGTCGAATTATGCTAAAAGATACAGTTCAAATTGTTCTATTCAACGCTTTCACAATTAATTCAACCCCAATCTTATTTCGGCGTATTGTCAGTCCGTAGCGTATGAAAACAACATTCGTTTTGCATGATTCAAAATTTCATGATTTTTGACAATTGTCAAAAACAAGGCTAAAAGGTATTTGTTTTGTTTTTCTGCATGACGGTTAAAACAAGATAAAACCGTTAATTGTCAAAAACTTTCCAACCCTGCTTAATTATGATATTTTTTAAAGTGCTCAAAAATGTTTTTTGAGTGCTTAAAAGATGCTTATATTTTTTTGAATAATTCGGCTACGCACCCTGTAATACCTTTTCACTGCTTTTAAAGATGGACTAACATTAAATGGTTTCAAAATTTGGTCAGAAAAAATTCAATTAAAATTCGAAAATTTAGCCCTTTTTAATAAAATTCGGAATGCACCATTAGATAGGTGGCTGATCGGCATAATTTAATTCTGATTTAATTATTATTTTTTACAACTTGGACCGCTTTTCTTCAATAATATAGTTTTACCAAATGATCAGAATTTTCCGTGAAACTGAATATCACAATATAAATGCTACAGCATATCAGGGGTTTTAAAAAGGGACTTGCGTAAAAAAAATTCCATTAAAATTTTAGATTTTTTTTGAAAATGGAATTCGGAATTTACCATTAGAGAGATTGCAAATCGGATTTTTAGATGATTTTTGCAGCATTTACTTCTTATAAAATAATGATAACAATTAAATCTTCAACTCCTAAGGACCCATTATGAACATCATTTTTATGAAGATGCCTCAAGCAACCAATGATGTTATGCAGTAATATAGTTTCAAACTGAATTTGGGTGTTTCGCAAACGATTTCGATATTAGTCTTAAGAATGGAACTCGCCTGTTTTTCTTATATTTTGCTACTTTTAAAAAGAGACATCAAGGGTTTTGAAAACGCCCCTTGTTGTTGCCACCTGTCAATCTTTTCAACTACTTGACTTAATTTGAGTGGCATCAACTACACTGCGAACATTTTAGATATACAACTTAAACAAAAGTGTGGGTGAGGTCTTGGTGACTTCACCTTTAAAAAATTTGGGAAAACCGAAATTGTTTTCCAGAAGTTATTCGGAATGATTTATTCAGATAATGAAAACAACAAAAACCAAACGATTTTTTAAGGAAGAAGAGAGAATGTTTTTACTTCCACAGTTACGTTTTTTTTTCTTTCTCATTTTTATTTCAAAAATCTATTGTTGCCTTCTAATGTTAATGCCTGTGAAAACACTGCCTTCATTTTTTCTACCAAAAATAAAAATGTGCTTTTGAACTTTTCTTTACCGTGTTGATTTTCGCCACAAATTATGCAAAAAGACATTGTCCTATTCAACGTTTTTACAATTAATTCAACCCTAATCTATTTCAGCGTACAACCGGTCTGCAGTGACTGAAAGTACCATTTGTTTTACATGTTTGATGAAATACTTGCGGGTCCGCACTTGCGTGTACTAAGCTGGATTCTGTGGTAAGGATTTTTGACTCTCGTGTGCAACCCTGCTGCATTTTACAAGAGATTCTCAATTTCAGACTTCATTTTCGCCCTCTGTAATAGAATCGAAAAATCTCTCGAATTTTTGCCGATTACGGGGACCAACTAAACATAATAGAGAAAAAATTTTTTTTCTCTATTAGTGATAGAAAATTTCATTTCTCTTGTTAATTTCATCGATTGTAACGTGCCATCGTCTTCGCCACTGTAAATAAAACCATCAATTGCCAACCCTGTCTAATTATGATATTTTTCAAAGTGCTTAAAAATATTTTTCGAGTGCTTAAAAGGTGCTTATTTTTTGTTGAAAAATTTGGCTACTCACCCTAACTTAACAATCATTTACTGTTGAATCATTTTTTTTTTTTTTTTT